AGAGGTTTGTGATCATTCTCTACGGTCACGGTTCGGCCATATGTGTATTGATCAAATCGTTCCAAGCCATACAGTACAGCCAAGGCTTCTTTTTCAATTTGGGCCCAGTTCGTCTCAGATGGGGTCAACGCGCGTGATGCATATTCAATGGGACGGCCATCTTGTAGTAGAACTGCGCCTATGCCATGTTGACTGCTGTCGACTTGAATAACAACKTCTTTCGCTGGATCAAAGTAGGCTAAACATGCAGCGTCAGAGAGTTTGTGTTTCAGTGTATCAAATGCATCTTCACATTCTTTGGACCACATGAATGGGACATTCCTTCTGGTTAAGTTTCTCAAGGTTCCAGTGTACTTGCCAGATCGGGTATGAATCTAGACACATATTGCGCCATACCACATAGACGTCTTATACCTTCTACATCAGTGGGAGCAGGCATATCGAGAATAGCTTTCACTTTGTTTTTGTCAACTTCCACACCACTGCTTGTGATTTTGTGTCCATGAAATATTTTATTAGATTCCTCTGGTTGTCTTGAAGTGCGTCAGACTCAGTAGCGATCTTGTCTCTCAACATACGGTCCTTCTCGGGGAAATTGCAAGCGGTGATTCGTGTTTGAAGTTCCGTATAAAATTTGTCAAAAACGGCTCTTGGTACTCGATCTTCCAAAATCTGTGAGATTCCATAACTTCGTTATCACGTGGATTGCAATATTTCTCAAGAGCGTCGAGGACAGCGTTAGGGTCATTTTTGTCTTCTTCCTTTGCCCATGTGAGATTGTCGTATACTTCTAAGACTTCCGGGCCTGCACAATTCAAGATGATTGCGRTCTGCTTKTCTCCCTCCTYTTCAGTAGCTCCAGATGCGGCTAAATAGATTTCGACTTGTCGTCGCCATCGCTTGTAGTTTTCCGAGACATTTCCAGAATTTATATCGAGTTGAGGCGGTAATCGAAAATTACCAGTCGCCATAGTTTATCCCGCCAGCGCCACCATGTTGACTTTGTGGGTCGTTAACAGATAAAATATAAAGATGAAGTAGATTAAAGAGATTTTTAAAGTCATCAAGATATGAGCTTTAATCCGCCATGTTCTCAACTAACACGAGACCAGACTACATTAACATAAATTATGGAGATTATGGTAATTAGATAAATCTAACCAATCAACAGTTGTGATTAATTGTATCTATGATTAAAGGCAATGTTGTTATTTCAAACGAGCCTTCGACGCAGTCTCTGGCTGAGGTCCCCGGGGGACCTAGCAGATACGACCACACGAAAAACTCCACCCTACACCAGACAATGAGACTATACCCTATAGACAAAAAAACTACCCTATCCCAGACAAATGGGCTATAAACGATACCCTATCCCAGACTTGGAACTCCGAAAAAGGGACCCTATCGTGCGCGCGGCACATACCCGTATAGTAAATATAGGGGAGTACTTTGCATCTTTGCATCTTCTGATTGGACAATAAACAAATAATTCTAGATGCAGTTAAAAGCTTTGCGATTCTCAATGTAATCTATATTTGTCATTATCGTTATTAGAATTCGACGAAGAAGTAGACGCTTCTTACTTTCATGGAAGAGATGGACTTGGTGATGCCAAAGACATACCAGAACCAGAYATGTCCAAACTKCGACCAGAGCATGCAGTAGATGYCATTATMAAGCTAGCAAAGGAAAACCCAGGGGAAATAACTCTAGTAGCGTTGGCTCCCCTCACTAATATAGCCCTAGCATGCCGCATGGACCCTAACTTTGCTAAGAATATCAAAGATGTAGTTATCATGGGAGGAAACTGTGAATCCAAAGGCAATCACTTAAGGGTGTGCTCAGAATTCAATTTCCACAGTGATGTGGAATCAGCATTGGTTTGCCTAAATGAGCTCCAGCATCCCGTTTCTATAGTAACATGGGAAACCTGTTTAAAGCATGGAATATCTTGGTCAAGATATGATGAGTTGRCTGGCATTCCCTCTGAAAARTCMAGGTTTTTTGRRAAAATAWCCCATSGCACTRCWGARTWTTACARGAAGAACASRGAARSTTTTGGATCTTSCTATACAMCWTGTGATGCTATCGCTATGGTTACTGCTRTCAAACCAGAGGCTGTCACCARAAAGATACATGTACATGCTACTGTTGAATTAAGTGGGCTTCATACCAGGGGTCAGATGGTGGTGGATTGGAGAAAACATCTCAAGAAAGAAGCTAATGTGTTACTGGTACAAGATATCGATATGGATATATTTAGGGCAGTTGCTATTAAAGCTCTTGGATAGCTTGCTTAAAGTACAAATGAACCCCATTTTTTTCAAACTCTAGGATAATCTATCCTATCAAAAATAGTAACTTGCCGCAAAAAGATTTTGAATTGGATGAATTCTCGATTTTTAATTGTATTTGGAACTTCCCGCCAGTTCGGGAAAATGCGCCTTCTTTGCAATGAGGGGCCTGGTGCGAGTGTGACGTCTACTAAGGAATCATCTCTCTCATTCCCGGAGCCTTTCAAAGTAAATGGTGGAGATTC